CAATATACTTTTTGTTTTGCGCAAGTCCATTCTTACATGCTTAGCTTCTGTGTCCAGGCGCTGGCGTTTAGCGGAAGGACTCTCTGAAAGAATGAGTGTCTCTTGAGAATCAGATGAGCTTGGTTGAGATTCCTCAGGCGATTCCACCATGGAAACAAATTCTGAACATAAGAGAAGCAGATGAAAGACAAAAACATTAACCACTATGAAATAGCAAGCTTATTAAATACTAACATGAATTACTAATATAACAAACCGGTTTCATATTTGATGGTTAGGACTCCAGCAGAGGGATCCTTAACAACATCCTCAAATACATCTTCATCCAACTCGGTTCCAGAACTGTCAACAACCTTCACGCCCTCTGTTATAGCTGGCACGCCAAATTTTGTGAATGCTAGAGAAAAAGACAAATGCTTGTCTAAACCACAATTATGAAGTTATGTTGCTCTAATATTCACATGTGCATAGACTCTGGGACATTACTTTTGAATAAACAATGTGAAGTAACATTACAAGCACTTCATAGCTTCCTGTGTACAACTACCAGTGTCTTACCTGCTATCAAAAACTCCTTCAGATTCGGCTCTGTTAGTCGGACAAATTTTTGCAGCTCGCCAAGTCTTGTTTTAATCAACATGGTTCCTGCAGGACATAATTCCTCAGTCATTCATCTTTAGTACTGGAATCCTTTCAATTTGTGAAACGTACCAACTGCATCACAAACCAATACAGCTTACATTACATGATTTTTATAGAACACAATTAAAGTTTACACATTAATGGCTTGGGCACAAAGTAACTTGACTTCATTGGACTCTTATCTAGGTTAGACAGTTGCTAAACACCCTGTCCTTTTGTAACAACTATAACAGTTTATTAAATTGCCTCGCTTATTTTTCGGCTTTTCCATTAGCATTAGCAACGGTTAATGGAGGAGTCAAGCACGGTTTACAGTGGAGGTATTGTGCTGGGCACGAGGGAGAGACATCACTCGCGCCAAATTCAGTGTTAACTATGAAACTACCTGGACTATTAGCCCCCGCTTGCGGTTCCAACACTTCAGAGTCGTGAGGCCTAATTGAAAATGAACCAAACTGTGTTAGACATACTCAACCCGAATAAAATATGGACTAACGTAAAAAAGGAGCAGAGCAGCTAATAGCTAGTTTAGCAAACTCGTGGCACCAACGATATAATTTACTTAGCAAAAAAATAAAAAATAGCTGGACAGTTAGCATTACTGTTGACCTGAAAAGCCATAAAGCCAACGTGACTTATTTTGTCTCAACCCAGACATCTTTTGCTAAATTTATATTATTTTTCTTAAATAAATAAAACACATATCTATGTAATATCGCTTGGACATGGATTTAAGGTGGATATAGTCGAGTTGGACAGGCGGACATTTTAAGCTAGCCATTCACTCAGTCAGGTTAGCAGTAAACTCAGTATTAAGATATTAAAACTCACTCGGATAATGGGGCTTACAAAAAATATTCTTATAAAACAATTCAAATTGTATTATTATCTTATAAAAAGAAACTTACCGAAGTCTTTCAAGCAGGAGAAAAATGGCGTCCACGCAACGGTTAGACTTGTTGGTTTGAGAGGAGGAGGTGGGCGGAGCTTGTTAGAGTTAAATTGACACGACCTGTATACACTCTGTAAATTTGCACCGACACTAGGTGGCATTATACTCAATCTGTTGTTGTATTAGCTCTGAAAGAGTCAATGAATTGTGACACCGCATATTTAACACTGCGAAATTTACTGTGTAGATGCATAAATTTGGTACCCGTACCATTTTATTGATTTGAATACCCTTAAATACTTATCACTTATTTACTGAAACTCAAAATTGGTTTGGCTACCTCATTAAACTTTGAACTTCATA